TGAAACTAATAATTTTTAATTCTTTACTTGTGCTTTTAATTTGTCTATTGTGTCATGCATGTATTTTAATTATGTTATTTGAATGCACGCATTATTCTTGTTGTCTGCTATAATTGCACCAAAATATATTTTCAAATCTGACATAAAGTGCATTAATTCTCAAAATATTCATATTTATGGAGTGACGATTATATAAATAAACGGAATTTTTCTATTTTGAGTGTAAAGCATTTCTATGAATTTTTTCCAAGAGTGATGAACTTTAGAATGGAGGTAATTATTGCGAGAGGTAATACATAAAAAAAAATAATGACACTTCATAACATGTCCTTTCACGTATCCCATTTTGTGGCTTTTACTGGGTCCAGTGGCACTAGGGAGTTTCAGCACGTTTGTAATGTCTTGACCTGAAGTACTACGAGTCAGCTGACTCCCGTTACACTTGCACTTACGAACCCTACGTGAAAGGTATGGCCTTAACGTTTCTCTTCATAACGCAGGGCTGCAAGGTTAATATCGCACAAATCTGTCCCAAATTGATGCCGTGTCCCGTAAAACGCTGCAGGAGTATGTAAGATTTTTGCAGAAATGAATAATATAAACATCCATATGATGGCCCATGAGATTGAGATCCGTGCCGACCTACACGTGGGATGGCGGAGAATTTCCTTCTACAGGTATCTCCCCAAGGGAAGCACCACCTCTGCCGTGACAAGCTCATAACTCCTGGATGGTCTCCCGACACGTGCGGTGAAGTAATGCATGTGACTGTCCATGTGTGTGTAAGGGCAGAGGATAAGGCAAGGAGGAGGAAGAAATGATTGCGCGCGGTCCGCAGTTCGTTTGCTAGGGAATTGCTCCGGTGTTCGCCTCGTGGTGGTCGGGGAAACCACGGATGAGAACTCGTAGCAGACGAACGCTGCATTTGTTCTCCAGACTCCGCGGCTGAATTTCTCCCACTTATGTAGCTAGAATCGAATGCCCCCGGGCTCTAACCTATCACCTCCCGATCAGAGCCGCTGCGGAGACAGCAGCAATGTCAGCTAAAATCGGTCGGTAGCGATAGATTCCTTATCCGCTAGTTAAAGAAATATCACCTGTATGAAACACAACTAATATTAACATAATGTAGTGATCTGTTAGTCCTCTTTTTGCTCTTAACTAGCTTATATTGTTGTAGTGGTTGTAAGGTATGGCTCCCGCGAGCTGAAACGCTTTGGAACACTCGCGCAATGACGTTCTAATGTGGAATGTCTCGTGATTTTAGGTCATGAGGTCAAGACTTTATAAACGCGATAAAACTTCCTATTCAATGATTCTGGCGCTACCGCTATACCAACCTAAAGGTATTTGAACGCCAAGGTAATTAGAAGGGGCGAATTTTATTGAAATGTCATTTTTTCTTTTCACTTGAGAACAATGACTTTTAGCATATACATTAATTTTATGTTGTAACAAAGTGAAAGGACCACCGTATCATATTGCTTTCTAACTGATTCTGTTCTTTTGTGATCTGAGGGACACTGTTATTTGTTTCAAACGCTATTGCTAGCTGCACAGTAGCTGAGGTGAGTCCATTGTGAGACTGATACCGTTGCGGTCTTTGCGATAGTGTGGGCTTTTCCGGGCGGGGGGGGGGGCGTGGCGTGACCTTGGGGTCGGTGCGGCGCCGGGCGCGGGGCCGGCGTCCCTTTCTTGCGTCGGGGCTCTGTCCTGGGAGCGCGCGGCGCGGCGGCGCGCAGCGCGCGGCCGCATGCATGAGCGGCGGGTGGCACGTAGAAGTCGGAGGAGGCTTGTGACCGGGATCAGGGCGCTTTGCGGGCACGCGGGGATGCCGTCGTACAGGAACGGCGCTGGCCGCGGGCGGCGCGCGTGCAGCTTGGCGGCAGCACGGGGGGCGCCTCGGCCCCCGCCCCCGCCGCCGCCAGCAGCCGCTGGTACTCGTCGGCCGGGCCCGCGCCGAACGCGTCCTCCGCCGCCTCCGCCGCCGCCTCCGCCGCCGCCGCGCGCTGCCACTCCACCGGCGTCAGCCGCCGGCCGCCGCTGCCTGCCGCACGCGCAAACCAGGACAAGTCATTCAGAGAGTACGTCAACCAGGCACCGCTTTGGCAGCGACGGTAAGTTACGTCTACGCCCTCACTTGGTCAGTGCGTTCGTCCACAGATGGCTCATTTGAAAATGGCTTCATAACTTCTCTATATCATGTTATGCAATGTATTAATAAACCTTCCTTTTGTGACATAGTCCTCACGGGATGTTGTGACAAAGTTCCAGCGTATTGGCACAGACCTTTATTCGGTCATTAGGTAATGATAATGATCTTATTTAGCACGAATAATGTAAATGGGAGGAATTAATAAATATAGTTTAAATCATAAGTTTTTTGAAGAATTTTATTAAGAATTAATAAATATGTAACAATTTGAACTATTAAATTAAAAAGTTACTAGGTTAATATAGAAATAATAATACTAATAATTAATATTCACAACTGTCAACCGTAGTCGCTGTATTCTGCTGGACCGGAGATGGTTAATAACAACTGCAGAAACACAAATCTGCTTTAAAAATAAAGAGTCCTCGCTCGAAATTCAAATTTATTTGCATTAATGAAGTATAAAGGAAAATATTAATTGGTGTAGATGAAATCTGTCAAGCTTCCAGAACAGTGCTCTTCGCTCGGGAGTGGGAGGAAAGATATCTATTTTTCTATCACTTCCAAAGGTAACAGAAAAGTAAGCAAGGTACTGTAGCAGTATTTAAAAGTATGTGTTTCAACCTCTCATTCTCTTCAGCCTTTATGTTAAATTTCTCATTTTGGGTGTACAGTTTCGCCTTTATTTCGTGTGTAAATAATGAAGTCCCTTTGTCCCACGCTCGACAAAACCTGGCGAAGAGCACTTGCGCTGAAAAATTTTATTTTGCTATGCTGGACTCACGTCAGGCCTGCGCTTATACATTATTTCGGATTGTCCCGAGTAAACGCTAACATACGTAAACTTCCGTGGCTGAATGAAAATTGTCACATCTCTTCCATTAGGAAGATTTAATTAACAAGTCATATTCGTAATTACATTTATTGTGTTTGAATTGCTTTAGGAAGACAAATTCATTACATCGAGATATGTTATGTGAAGATATTTCTAGTGAAAATTTTAAATTAAGCTAATTCACATCTTTGTTCCTATAAAACGAGATGTAATTAAAAGTAAACGGGAAGCACATTTCAATTTCTCTTGCATGCAAATATTTACCAAATACTTTACCAGCTCCCTCCCGCGAAGTAGACTTGAGTTAAACCCAAGTGAATTTTACTGAGCAAGCGAGAAAGACACAATCGTTTCCAAATCATGTACCAGAATTGGAATACCAATGGTAAATATTTCTCCATTATCATTAATGTTATTTCACAAAATATTTATCATTCCCCAAGTACTTTACTTTTACTAGTACCTGTTGTATACCAAATCGCTGTCTTTTCGGCAGGGGGATATAATTCAAATACATATTATGGAGGTACAAAAACCAAAGTTTCGTACAAGAAGTATTCCAAATTCTATTGGCATCTCTGCAGAAAAAAATAGCAAAACCGAGTTGCACATTCTACATTTTCTTTAATGGTCAGTCGAGTATATCATGCTGTTTCCCTGAATTGATCTTTATTATACCAATCTACCCTTAATAACCTACATTTTGAAAGTCGACCCAGAAAACTATTTCTCTTTCTCCGAACATTGTCCAGTTAGTTTAATAGGCAATGTTGCCAGGCTTCTCACAGCGTTTAAATTGATTATTTTGCGGGTCAAATTGATCGCACGTCAGTGGCACTATTACTAGTAGTTTTCAAACTTAAGCCACGAAAAAGAAGTCATTTCCATGAATTGTAGTGTTTAATTGAGCTAGGTTTTTATGCTTAAGAACGAATGAGTTATATATAATAGAACATATTATACGCAAATTTTTACGTTGAGATTAACATCTTACCATAGAATAAAAATAAATTGTCAACTACATGCCTCTTCCCTTCTATGTCAATTTTTGAGCATGATTAAACTGTTTATTTGCAAATAAATTACTTCCAGAATCCTCTGGATAGTTACACTACGTAGTGGGTAGAAAATTTAAATTCAGGAAAATACGAGAAATAAGAATTTATACATAGTTCACCACCAATTATACATTTTTTACTTACATCACATAAAGAATGTGGGGTGCGCTCGTGATCCCCCTTTGAAGCCATACCCAATGAAACATTAACGTGCCAGCATAAACCTGTGCCTTTGACGTAAATATGATCATTCACAATGATCGCGCGTTAACTTAAACAAGGCTGCCAACTGCTACCGGCTCCGATATCTCAGAACCAGAATTGTCGCTTTCTCTGCAGAGACTCTCACCAGAAGGTCAGATAGTTCGAGTCCCGATGGTGGTGGAATTTATATGCTAGCTACGAACTTGGTAGGTCGAATTAAGCCTTTGTCTGGAGGAGGCTTCTACCAGCCGACTGCTCTGATCGGCAGTTTTCCATCGTTTCTCCGATCAACACCAGGGGAATGCCGATGCATTATCCTAAGAAACGGGCCACGAATCACGCGCGATCATTTCTTCCGTTTCCGACTCTCTTTCCCTCCCCTCCCCTTACTGACACACAGCGACTGCTCGCCTGCCACCCACCCTCCTGCACTTGAAAGCACTACGCTACCACTGACTACGGGAGCTAAGAGCTTGTCTCAGCTGGGGCACTGCCTCGCTTGGGGAATATACCTCGAAGGGGAAATTGCCCACACACCGACGTGTAGACCGCTCCTGGATCTCACTTTCCATGTGGAGGAACAACGCCCCGGGATAAAATAATCTCCTCACGGGACTAATGACCATTGGCGATCACGGAAATGTCAGTTATTAATATTCCGCTCCTGCATTATCCTGGTGTTGATGTGAGGAACCTATCGATGAGAGTAACTAGCCCTAGAATTCCCCCCTGACAATGGTTGGGAACCACCGCCGGGACCGAAGGCCACCGCCCGCCCGCTACAAGGCTGCTCACCGACGGGCGCGGCGGCTGCGGCGGCCGCGAGGCGCGCCGCGTCCTCGTCGCGCTCGCCGCCGGCCTCTGCGTCGTCGTCGTCCGCCAGCGCCTCCAGAGCGTCGCGCTGCGCCGCGGGCGACGCGAACTTGAGCGCGTACAGGAAGCCCGCGCCGGCGCCGGCGCCGCCCGTCTGCTCCAGGCGCTGCTTGCCGCGCTTGCGGTACATGCCGCCCGCCTGCCACCCGCCCAGCGCGCCCGCGTTGTTGAAGTAGTCGAAGCCGCCGTACTGCCGCTTGGCCGGGCCGTCGCGCGCCACCACCTGCTCGTCCACGTCCGCGTCCGCTGCGAACAGTGGTAGCACGTGAGGAGGCTGATGGGCGTACCTGCATTTGATGTGAGTGATGGCGAAACAAGACAGGAAAAGGGAACAGAGAAAAACTGCCGTGAACCCGCTTCCTCCACCGTAAACTCCACGTGTATCGCGAGAGAATTGAATCCTGGTCCCTGCTGTGGCAGGAGAGCGATCTGACCTCTATGGGTGGCGACACGCAGTCAACCTAGGTTGGAGTTCAGTCCAGGACTAAGACGGGAGTGTAGGAAGCTCTGAAGACATAACCGATTCACTGTTGAATTTCAAATGGTTAAGTATTTCAAAGACCGAGTAGATTCTCAACTTGTTCTCGTTAAAGTTTAGTATTATTCGAAACGGAAGAAGCTGCAAAATTCTTTGAAATGTAGACATTTTGGATTACTAGTTTTTCGTTTGGATTAATTGTTTTTCGAATGTCGTTCCTTCATAAAAATAAAATTAAAAATACGCAAATCCTAATAATGTGCATATTCAATTTACTATTCTGAATTATTTAGGTTTAACTGTAGTTGCGAATGAATGTTTCAGAGTCTAATATTGGATTGAAAAATAATTTGTCTATGATATCATTCCAGAAATTAATCAATTGCAACATTATTTTAAACAAATGAAAATAATATAATAAGAATTATACTACCTAAGTGTATAATATATTACGAAATATATTCGTCCAGTCGACAGCTAACACTCTCCAGTTTAAGATTTAATGATATTACAAAATTAATTTCGAATCTCTTAAGTAGTTATTTCCAATTCGTGCCTTCAACATTAAAATATTTTACCAGAATTGTACGCACTTTTCGTACTACCTTCTGATCAACGTAGCATCGGTTGCAGACATAATTTTGGGATTGTACCAAACCTAAACCCATGAAACAAATATTGACCACCGTCATGATTTTAATCGTGACCGTCCAATAGATACACTTCCCCTCAGTTTTAAAATTAAAACGGATATATTATAACTTAGAAGTAAAGAAGGATGCACTATATGTCTTCAAAATTATATCAACTTAACTCCCAGTATATTTTGATTCTACATCTCGTCTCGAAAATTGCACAATGCTTGTGGTTTTAAGCAATCAAATTGAGATGATGCAATGCTAAAAGATGCTAAAGCTTGTTGTGACTGGTGATGCCTGTCTTGTAACCACCCCAAGCCCTCCAATTTAACGTAATACTTAATTCTTTTCTCTGACGTGCGAAAATAGGTATATTAAATAACGCATTAAGGCGTATTATGTTATGTATTATGAAACCCTAAAAGTGTGCATATTAGTATCCCAGCGAAGTTGTTGTTAAAGGAGTAACAGTGGCTGTTGGAGTGGCGCTCACCTATCCCCGCGAGCAGCTCCTGCAAGTCCTCGGGGCTCAGGTCCTCAATGCGGCGCACGTCGGGGTTGACCTGGCGGTACTTGCGCCAGAGGCCCTGCAGCAGGTCCAGGTACTCGTCCTCGCGCTCCTCCTCCTCCTCCGCCTCCTCCTCGCGCTCGTGCTCCTCCTCCTCGGCTTCCTCGCGTTCCCTCTCCACCAGCGCCTGCTGCGCGGCGCCACGCGCAAACACAGAGCACTTTTAGAAACACAATACACGCGCTTCGTTAACGCCCTACCCTGGTATCGTCACGTGCTCAGACTCGATACCCACGTAAATTCAACTTGCTATTTGTGAATTCATTCGTGATCTACTCATCCAAGCTATAACCCGTAATTCTTTCTCTTCGGACTAAAATTGAGTTACAAGGCAAAACGTGTCTCACCAATCGACATAAAACGATGTTGAATTTGCTACAAAGTTTGCTGAATTACTCTGACATTTACTGTCAAGTGTTAATTCTACTTTACAGCGACTATTGGATCTGGACTAGTCGGGGCAGTAGAGAAAGAATTTCTCGTCCTTTGCCAGACTGTGGCAAAGACCTTTCCACTCCCCTAAGGCACAATGTTTCGAAGCAAAACCCAATAATCGGGTGGACGTTCGTCTGCTCACCTCGGCCTCCTGCTCGGCCTGGAGCTCGCGCGCCAACTCGAGAGGGCGGGCGCGCTTGTCGGCGTCGAAGGCCTCGAGCGCCGCGCGCTCGCGGAAGCTGGAGAGCGGCTGCAGGCGCACCGGGCGGCGCCTGCGCACCAGCGGCTCGCGCAGCGCGGCGCGCTCGCGGAACACGGACGGCGCGCCGCCCCCGCGCTTCTCCCCCGGCGGCGGCGCCCCGCCCCCCGCCTCCACGTACTCCAGCAGCAGGCGCTCGAGTGCGCGCCCGCCGCCCGCCGCCTCGCCCCCGCCGCCGCCCGCCGCCGCCGACTTCTGGTAGCCGTAGCCGATGTTCTCGGGCTGGCCGTCACCTGCGCGGCAGATGCGACTCGCCTCTTTGCACTCCTTAACAACATCCATCATCATTCAATTACAATGTCAAGACACAACTTCTTTATAAGCGTTCTAACGACAGTGTCGAGGGCCTTCGGCCCGAGATCATTGGAGCCAGTTAACGCTCGGAGTTCACACTTGATTTTGTTTTACCTAATTTTATTGATTAAGATTTATTATTTACTAATTAAGTAGATGCTCACTTGACTCGGTTTGTCTGTACATCTTTTCCTCCTGTAATTCCCTTTCTTAATTCCCACTCATAATTCCTTCTATAAGAGAACGAGTTGCACCTTTCAACTGTTGTCATATACGCTCGTAACCACGAATCTCTTCATGCATATACATTATGCAGTGTATATCGAGCTTCGTAACAAAGGTAATAACAAGCAATATCAATAAAAGTTACTGAGGAGTAACGTTAGCAACAAAAACATTGTATGTTGTAATGGCATTAAATATAATCGACAAGCACATTCCGATACCCTTCGTGTGTATTTTATTTGAATGTGACCTTCTTCATTGATTCAATGATAATGTTCTTTGAGTACTAAAAGACTCTTCTGTTAATACAATATAATTTTTCAAAAGTGTAAGCTGAAAATAATGTTTCTTAGATACATCTACTTTGTTAATTATTATATATACATTCGATTCAGTAGAATTTTTTATGTGAGCTAATCATTCAAACTAATGATTCTGTGGAATTTAACGAGATGTAAGTGATATTTGTTACTGTACGATGCAAAATATCTTCACTGTTTTCATCTAGAAACTACAGTAAGTATAGTGCGGCCTTTTCTGCTCTGCTTGCTGTAGTTATTGCAGCATATCTGCATTTCTATTTCCTTCATGAGACTTGGATGTGTTGGTATCTGCCAAACGAAAAACTTGTGCATATTGTTTATTTGAGATTAAACATGTCTATAGCTTTTTTATTATTTTAAGCTTCGATGAATTCGTGAACCATTGTATATGCATTTCTTATCTTGTGGACTAGAATTCAATATTCTGGACTTCTTCCTTATTTAGTATACTATATAGGAAATGCCTACTCATACTGTTTAGACATTTCCTTAGTACTATTTTTGAGAGTTTAAAGATACATTAAGTTCTGCGTTGTTTGAATTTACATATTTATGTCATGATCACATTTATGACATCTGAATGAATCGGGATATGAGATAGTTTCACATTGCCAGAAAGGACAAAAGGTGAAAATAATATTTTGTATTAGTGATGACTGGTTTGATAACGAGGCTAGTTTCTCATCAGGAAATATTATTCACTTGTTGTAAAATAAATATCCACGTTGATATTTCTCTTACTTCTGACCCGAAATGAACGAAATGGTTTGTTGCAGCAACGCGGTTGAAGCAGTGGAGCAATGGAGCGTGGCGCAGCGCCATTCAGCTGTCGAGAGGAGGAGCTCAGAGGTCGTCGCCCTCGGAGAAGCCTTCAGTCGCTTTCCTCACGCCCTTCCACTCCACTTCCCACCTCCCACCCCCTCCATTCCATTCTGCCTCGGTCATTTCTCCTCCTCGAACCTCTCCCGTTTCCCCATTCCACAATGTCATTCATCTCACCAAATCCTCCATTCAGTTTCTACTTCGCTGCTCTACCGTTTAGGTCTGTCCGCTCTTACGGAGGTCCGCAGGTCGGCGTAGAGGTGGTAGCTGCTGCGTAGGCGGTGACGTGTCATTTTGCCTGCCGCCTCCTTTCTTCCTCCAGTCTCTCTTCCCTGGGGCTGTTTTTGTGTTTCTGCAGCCCTGCTTCCCCTGTCCCTCCGTCGCTGGCCGTGCGCGTGCCTGGAGCGGGGGAGGGGGAGGGAGGGGGGACGCCTCCCGCGGAGCCGCAATTGCTCCGGAATGAGACTCGTCGCTCCGCGCGCCGCCCCTGCCCCCGGCGCGACCGTTCTCCGGTCGATAGTGCCCCCACGAATCCTCCGCTAGTGCTTCCGCCCTACATCTCTCGGAGCGACTAGGAATCCTCCCACTCGTTTCTCCTACTGTGTTATCTCTCCTACTGTGTCATCTGCAAGTAGTAACATTAAACAACCTAAAGAGATGGAGGAATCAACACTTTATTCAACTTCCGTAATCCACATCATAGTACTTTGATTGATGTTTCCGGCGCGTCAACTGCTAAGGTCATTAATTCTTTTCGTGTAGTGAATGCTTTGCCCCGGGAGGAAGCGGTCTTTCCCTCCAGCTGTGTGGTGAGACCCGTCGCTGACCTTCACGACGGCCTGCCAGGCATTACCCCACCCCAGATATCTCCTCCAACGAAGCACCGACCCATTCGGGGCAAGCTCTAAGCTCCCGACCGGTCTCCCGGCATGTGTGGTAGTGTAGTGCTTATAAGCGTGTTTGTAAATAAGGGGGAGGGAAGGACAAGGAAGAGGAAGGAAATATCGCGTACGATCCATTGGCCTATTTGTTAAGTTACTGCTCTGATATTCGCCTGATAATGATACCGTGAAACCACGGAAAACTACCTATCACAGCACCCAATCACAAGAATTCTCCTTCAGACAGCGGCTGAATTCGGCGTTGAAGTTGGTAAATCCTCCACCGTTTGGACTCAAATCCCTGCCGTGGTCGCTGCAGTCAGCGGCAATTCTGGCACTGTTTGTCTTGGTGCATCCATTGCCATTTTGTATCCCTTTTTTCTAAGAAATAATACTTTTCTGTCTTGTCCCGACGTCTCATTAGCATCTACGTACTTCGATCGCCAACACCAGCTGTATTACGCTGTTTTAATGTGGTAATGTTTAAATTACAAATACTGCACTTGAATGAATTTAAAACATTACCACATCATATGCGAAAAATTATTGTATGTTGTATTAAAGTACTCTTCTCCTTTCCTAAAATAGGCGAAATCTGGCGTAATCAACGGTTGAAATAATTCTAATTTCTCACTCTTTCCGTACAGTGTACATAGTCATTTTACAGAAAAGATGAATTACTATTCGGTACAAAGGTACACAATAATTCAATAAGAGGGATGATAACCTCTCTACGCGAGGTTGACTTAGTGGTTGGTGGAATGGAAGAGATTAAAAGTAGTTTGGGATGTAGAGGACAATGAAATGGAGTTACAGGGGGCGAAATCTGGAAGGGATGCGATTACTGTGAGTTTTTGCCTGGAGACAATATGGGTTGGAAGGGAGGTGAGGAAGCTTGTTGAAGAATATTTTCGAGAGGCGGACGATGGGCTTGGTGACTGGAGGGAAATTCAGTCTTTGTGAATTTGCATTTTCAAATCACCATGGACCTCTTAAGGCTATGCGGAGGATTTACTCTTGTACGGTTTGGATATGCTTTACTGTTGGCGGGGTGTACCGCCCCATATCGGGGCTGCACATGTCATGGTAGGGAGTAATAATGGCTTGTATAAGTATAGGATGGTCCTCAGGTTCAGGGATGAGTTACTAATAAAAGGATACAGTCACCACGAGCGGATGTACACTTTTCAGGTTAAAAGTGTAGTCAGTAGGTCTCCACGATACGGGATAGTCATTTTTAATACAATGAAGAAATGTGGTCAGAAATTCATTTATTTTTACGACAAATAATTTCATCAAGGCATTTTATTTTTTGTGAATAAATAGTAAAACAAATTCGAAAATAGTTTATATTCCCAAAAAGAATTTCTTCAAGATACCTTCTTTTATAAGGCAGATGGTATATAGAGAAAAAATATATTTGGCCACGAAATAAACGACATTGCTCACGATGAAGTCATTTTCTGAGATATCTATTGACAAATAATAATAATAATAATAATAATAGAGACGTGCCACTTTTACGTGCACTGGCATAATTTTTCTATCCCGGCAATAAAGGTAGAAACCCAATTACATGCAAAAACAAAAATCATAAAAACATTCTACTTCTCCTGCAATCAACTGAAGAAAGTGGGTTGAGACCCATATTGGGAAGTTCTTGGAAGCATCAGAAACGGTTTGCCGTGCGATTCGTCGCTTTCTCCGCCTCTGCCTCCGCCCTGGCCGTGCCTTGCGGCGCTTCGGGCCGCCTCCATTGCGACGCGGGAGCGAAGTTGGAGGCGTGCGTTGATTGGCCGCAAGGGCCCTCTCTCTGTCTCGCTGGCGGCGACGGCGGTGCAAATTGGTTGTGGATTTTCAGTCGATCGCACTCTTCGCCGTCGGCTCATCTGCAGAGCGCAGACACTGCGGGCGAGCGCGCTTGCCGTTCTCGCTCGCTTCCGGATCACGCGATTTATGCCGCGCAGTTGCAGGCAACACTCTATCA